GGGGGGGCGGCCATGGCTTTAGATGTGTAGGGGGGGTAGCGAGCAGTGTGCGGCCGCTCCAACTGGCACGGGCCTTCCAGACGACGTAAGACCGGGACCGCTCCAGGCCGAGGCGCTGCTGCGTCTTCACGACGCTCCCGAACCTCGTGAAATGCTCCAAGCCGCACTCGATCACCTCTCGACGGTCTGCTTACGACTGTCGCCTCGCCGCCACCCTCTCCGCCTGCCTGTCCATCCCGGAGTGGTTCGACTCCACACAAATCCGAGGCGGTGACGGGATGCTGTCGTGTGGTGATCTCAGGCCCAGTGAGGTAGTGCATCTGACTATCCTGGATCCTGCAGAACAAGTTCCTCTTGTAGCTCGATCGGTCACACCGCCATCGCCGTCGGGGAGAGGGGGGACGACACTGCTTTGGCAGCGTGCACCTCGATCCTGTACCGTGTTTGTTATGACCCCACCCAATGAACACACCAGTGAGGGAGGGCGAGACGATCGAGGGGTCCCGTACCATGCGGAATCGACCCTATCAAGTGCTCAAGTGCTCAACTACAAGAACTCGGATTTGTCCATGCGCGCGTCCCTTTTCAAACAAGTTCTCGCGTGCGCGCGAAAGGCTCAGATGGACTGCGCCATCCACCTCCTCGGCGACGCGAGCCGCCAGCCTGAGATCGCCGCCCTCAACAGCACGCTCTCGCTCTCTCGCTTGACCGTCCTTTCGGACGGGACCCACCTCCCCGGTGCTCGCCAGCTCCGCGGACAGACGGTGCTCCTCCTCCTTTCTGGCACCACGCTGGCCTCGCCGGGGGCCGCAGCTAGCCTCGCCAGACTTCTGGGCGGGAGCACGCGCTTGCTGCTCGCCACGCCGCCTCCGGTCTCCGAGCGGTGCGGCTCGCCGCCGAGGCGTACTGCCGCTGCAGAGCGGACCCGGCAGCTGGCAGAGGAGGCGTCTGCACTCGAGCCTACCAAGAGGCGTCTGGGCGTGGTCGAGTTCGAGGACGCTCTGATGGCGCCGGGGATGACTCTCGCCTGCAACGCGAGCCTCGCGTCGCGGCTTGTCGCCGAGCTCGTGGCGGCCGCAGCGTGCGGCTCGCATCCCTCGCCACTCCAACGGGAGGAGAGCAGGCCGCCTCGGGTGGCGGTGTGCTTTGGTGCGTGGGTCGGCGCCGCGAGGGTGCTCGAGGACGGAGGGCGGAGCATCCGCGAAAACCTGGTTGCGCCGCTCGGGGCGAGTATCATCATGGCACTGCGATGGCAAAGCGCTGCCGACTGCTCGCACGGGGGCGCTGCCGACTCGCCCGCGCTTCAGTGCATGAGCGCGATGCGAGCCGATCTGCCTGACATCGGCGCCATCGCGCGGCTCGAGATGGTGGAGACGCCCTCGCTTCAGGAGCAGGTGGGCGTGTTGGAGGGATCATCCCACTGGCCGCGGGTGCTGCACGCCTTCAACCACGGCTCGCGGTGCGGGAGCGATTGCGGCCGCTTCCCCAAGACCTGCCGGAGGGTCGAGAATTGGGAGGACAAGACGCGATCGCCGTACAAATGCAACAATCTGTGGAACACCTATCTGACACCCGTCTTTTCGAGCCACGGCAGCTTCAACCACAACCTGATCAAGCTCTTTGACCTCTCGCGCGTCATCGACGCGCTCGGGAGGCGCGGCCTCACGCGCCAACTCCACGGGCGGCAGGGACGCCAGGAAGGGACTCGGAGTCCTCTGTTAGGCACGAGGCAGCAGCGCAGGTGCGCTTTGATCGCGTGGTGCACAGCCGGCTGGAGAACCAGTGGTTGGCGCCCCACCCGCCTCTGAGTGCGCTCTCAGCGGGGGCGGCCTGGGTGACCAAGGGCGAAGACTACTACGGCGGAATCTGCGACCGCTACGGGCTGGTGACGCGCCGCACTAAGTTGGACCCCCACACGCCGTCCGCCCACGCGACCTTGACACGTGCGCCAGGTGTCGCGCGCGATGGCGGAGGTGTACTTTCGCAAGCTCGAGCTGCTCCTCTCGGGCGGGCTGCTGCGTGTGGACCCGCAGCTCAAGGCGGGCGCCGTCGAGCACACCAACCAACTCAACGATGAGGGACTGGTCAAGAACATTCTCCGCTACTTCATGCTACCGTTGCGCCGCTTCCCGAGCGTTCGCGCGCTGGCGCAAGCCCAACATCGCTGCGGCTAGAGACGGGGCGCTCCTTCACCTCAAGAGGAGCTTTCAACGCAGGCGTGCTGCCGCCGGGGCGTGCCGTGCTCTCACAGCCACTGCCACTCGCAGCATCTTCCGCACGCAGCCGTGCTTGCCGCCGTGTGCAGCGAGTTCCAGCGCACGGGTAAGCTGCCGGAAGGGATATCGAGCAACGGCTCGTGGGGCAGCGATCGCTCGCGTCCCGTCTCGGGCAAATATTTTGGCGAGGTGAGCTCGGTTCCCGGGCCCCGGAATGGACTAGTTCACGAGTTGCAGCTAACGGTGGACGCTGACGCTGCAGGTGTACGAGTCGATGATCCAGGCGTACGCGCTGGCTGCGCCTGGGGCTCGCTGGGGGCTGTTCAAGCGCGGTGTCGGTGGTGAGGTGGTCGTCATGCTGCCTGCGAACAGTGCGCGCTGCCTCCGTCAACTCTGGCAAACGGCGGGGCCCACGCAGAGGTATCATTCGGCGAGCCGCATAGTGTGCCAAGGCGACGGGGCCGCGGAGACGTGCTTTGCTAGGGCGCCGGGGTATGTCCGCAGATAAGCGATGGGCGCACGGCACACGGTACATCTGTTGTGATCATGAGCAACACACATATGGCGCGGCGCCTGCACAAAAAGAATGAAATAATGTCGTTAATTTATTGATGAATAATTAGAAGACAAAACGGACATCCACAGCCGAGTACTAGCGATGGGTGCGAAACGGATCGAGCGGGGACGTGCGCCCCCCGAACGCCGAACGACGGGGCGCGGCAACGGGGCCGGACGCCGGGGCGCTCGGCACCGCCCCACCGCGGTCGCGGGGGGGTGGAGGCAAAAGGATGAGAGTGCGTGTCTACCTCACGGCGTGTGGGTTTGCGCGCGGTGGAGTGTGAAGTTCTAGTTAAAACGTAAACGTTGCCTCCTCTACCGTACCCTCTTTCGCGACGCGGGGCTGGCCTGCACTCGCACCGCGTCTCCACCCTCGCTGCCGCACAGCGCACACTCGCACCAGAAGCCCCAGCGCTCGTGCAGCTGCTCGCGTCGCTCGGCGCGAGTCGGCCGGCGCTTGCCCGTGGCGGGCAAGCCGAGGTAGCTGAAAGAGAGCTCCTCGCCGCCCTCGATGCGGCGCCGCGCGCGCAGCTCGTAGCAGCCGCTGCCGCACCCGCCGGCGTCGGCGGCCGCCGGTAGCCAGACCACCTCTGTGTTTGGATCGCAGGCGTGGTTGACGAGTCGCAGGCGCGGCAGCAGCACGGTCGAGTAGAGCGCGTCGTCGTCGTCGTCGCCGTCGCCGGCGGCGGCAAGGCCCTCGCTCAGCCTCGCCACGTTCGAACGCAGCGCCGCCGAGAGCCTCGCTAGCCCGTCGGCGGTCACCCCGAGCGCCTCGGCCCACTGCGGACGCGGTGCCGCCGACACCTCTGCCTCCGCCTGCTTGTAGGTAGGTGGGTAGGTGTTACCTCACACTGTCTAGGCAGAGACAAGGAGGGCCCCCGCACACACGAACCCGCACATACAGAGAGAGGGACGATTTGGGCATCAGAGAGCCATAAGTGTTTGTTGTTGTTTCTCCGCTTGCGTGAAGGTGCACATTATGAGATATGGTGTATGAATAGTAGAGAAGCAAAAGAAGACATCCGCCTGCTCGAGGTGCTCCGCGCAGTGGTGCAGCGCGAGTGGTCCGCGGAGGAGGCCCGCCCAGCGAGGGCGCGAGAGCAGCTCCCGCAGGAGCTCCTGTTCACAGCTGTCGGTGTGAAGAGACGCCGTTCAACGCGATGTGGACAGCTCCCGCAGGAGCTCCTCGGGGTCGGTGGAGCGCGGGGGGCGCCGGCCGCCGTCGCCGTCCGGCACGCTCACGGGTGTGTCTCGCGCGAAGCAGCCTCCCGCCTCGACGGGCGCGGCGGCCACCAGTCCGAGCCCCCGCTCGTCCGTGCGGACGACGAACGTCCCCTGGGGGGGGCAAAGCGCCGTTTCCTCGCCGCCAACTTCTCCTTCGCCTCCTCCTCCGATGGAGCGGCAAAGCGCAGCTCCCTCGCCGCCTCGAGGGTGCTTAGCGCCAGGACCTGGACGGTGGTCTGGGGGAGGCGCGACCGCGAGGCGCGCCTCGAGGAGGGAGAGCACCGATTCTCCGCCGGCGCCGCCGCCGCCACTGTCCGCTGTCCGCTGTGAGCGGCGCCTCGCCTCGTCGACGGGATTGGTCGAGGAGCGCGAGGCGGCGAGGGCGTCGGCGCCGGCCTCAAGCAGCGCCGCAACCACAGGGCTGTGCCCCTCCCTCGCCGCAAAGTGGAGCGCCGTCTCGCCGCAGTTGGTCGTCGCCGCCACGTCTGCCGCCGCCTCGAGAAGCAAGCGGACCGCTCGCGCATCGCCAGCCTCTGATGCGGCGTGCAGCGCGGTGGAGCCGTCATAGTCGCGTGCGTCGACGAAGCGGCGGCACCGCCTCAGCAGCCGAGCAAAGGCGCCGGCGCCGCCGTCGACGAGGGCGTCCTGCAGCCGCGCCGAGATTGCGATCTCGCACGAGCGGGCGACGTGAGCCTGCGCCGCGTGGGGAGGCATCGCCATCACCGCCCGCAGGAAGGAGGCCGTCCGGCCGCGCTGCAGCTCCGAGCTGTCGGCGGCGCAAGGGCAGGCGCCGCGATTGCTCGCCTCAAAGGTGGCGTCGTAGAGGGGCGTGTGGCCACCTTCGTCCCGCGCGTGCACGCTCGCGCCGTGCAGCACCAGCAGCTTGCAGGCATCTAGCCGCCCGTTGTACGCCGCGACGTGCAGCGGCGTCGCGCCGGTTGCATCGCGAGCGCTGGCGTCCGCGCCCGCCTCGAGGAGGACGAGCACGGCCGCGACGCTGGAGCTGAGGGCGGCGTGGTGCAGCGCGGTGCATCCATGTGCGTCGGCCGCGTCGAGCGGCGGTGATGCCGTGTCGGCCACCAGCCGCTCGAGCTCCGACGCCTCGCCGAGCATCGCAGAGGTGAAGAGATCCGAGAGAGGGCCCCAGCCAGAGTCGTCGAAGCAAAAGCGGTGGTAGATCGCCGCGGCCGGTCGCAGGGCCATGTGTGATGAGACGCACAAACGATGGCAGCCAACGCCCGAGACTGGCGTCTCCTGCCCCCAGGCTCGCCAGCGAACACCGCACTCGGCTGTGAACGCCGCGGTTGAGCAGCACCCCATCCAGGTTGTTGGTTGCTGCCCCAGGTCCCGCACTATGTAGGTGCACTGCTTCAGCAGCGTACACCTCGATCCTGTACCGTGTGTCTTGTGAGCTTGTTTGTGTCTGTGTGTCGCTCGTGCGTGTCGTCATCATCTGTCTTGCGTCCACCCATACCGCGTTGGTGTCCAGTCCGAGCCTGACTGTTCTTCACCTTCCTACATACATACATACATACCGTGTTTGTTTATAACCCCCCCCAATGAACACACCAGTGAGGGCAATTAGTGAGGGAGGGCGAGACGATCGTGGATCGAGGAGTCCCGTGCCATGGCGGAATCGACCCTATCCCACCAGTGCAACAGTGCGGGTGGTGCGACGTGCCCGCCGAAACATCGGTTCAAACGACGTTCACAGCGCCAATTCGGCCCCAGCTCTTCGGCCAGTCTTCGGCTCGCTCTGCTCGCCGGTCCCCTCACACTGACACTTCTCCCCTATTCCCGTCTTTAGGTTGCGCACATCTCCCAGCGAGCTAGGTTCTCCGCTTTTTCTCCCCTAGTCATCTGCCCGCGCCGCGCGCCTCTGTGGGCGTCTAGTGCAGCCACTGACAGAACTATTCCCGAGGAGTGGTCGACGTCTCGCCTGAAGTCGGGTGGGCTCGCGCACTGCTTAGCCCTAGGGGAGGGGTGTGTGTGAGGTGTCGGAATGGTAAGGTTTCAGGCCGCCAAGGTGTGGGGGATTTGGGGGATGAGTCAGGAGCCAGCAGCCTTCCTGCTGGACCTGAGTTCACAGCTCCTCCGCCCGACGGGGTGGTCCCTTGGATTCGGGCCCCGCTCCCTTTTCCTGCGCCTGGTCTGTCCCTGTCAAGTGTGTGTTGCGAGATGCAGAGCTGGTTAGGGTGGAGCGCGGGCGGTGCGGTGGCAGGCGAGGGCAGCGCGGTAGGCGAGAGGCGGCCGCGGGGCTTCGAGTGGCGCGATAGGAGGGTAGGCTGGCTGTGGAGGGGCGCCGCGTGGCCTCGGCAAATGAGTAGTGCTTTATGAGCGGCCAGTTTTGTGCGTATTGCATATCGAGCCTGCGGTGTGGCCTAGTTGGTGCAGCGTTCGGGTCGGGGACGTTTTGGTCGTTGGTTCGAGCCCAGCTGGTGCAGTTCGTAGTCGCGTAGCGCGCGGGTGCGCGGCAGCCTCGGCAACCGAGGCGACAGTGGCGAGCAGGGGCGAGCAGGGGCGAGCAGGGGTCAGAGCAGTGCGGCGCGCCGAATTTTTTTCGATGGGCTCGGTCAGTGGGCGTGTCAGGAGGCGGCCGGCCGGGAGAAACTCGGCAGTAAAACTCCCGCGCCGGCCCAGGAGGTGGGAGTGTCACGGAGGCGGCCATTGGCGCGCGCTCCTTGTCTTCGTGGGTCCGAGTTTTTTCACTGGTGGCCAGACAGCGACAGAAAACACCACGCAAGAGTACTTTGTCAAATAAATAACTAAAACGGTGGTGTCAAGGTGGCCTCGAGTGGCCTCTCGCCTCCGATCACCCCTCCGTCTCAAACGGCGGCGGCGACTCCACTCCCGCGCACAGCCGGCGCCGCTCCTCCTGCGCGCGCAGCCACACGGCAGAGTCGCGCACGCGCTCGCCGTAGTTTCGCACATTAGCCTCGAGCGAGGGTAGCTGCTGCGCGCAGGGCGGGTTGGAGTCGTAGGACAGGACCTGAGGGGAAAGTCCGGCGCTGTAACTGCGCGAGAGAGGCTCAACCTGTTGCGATAGCGGGCGGGATGCACACCGCGGTGATGCGCGCGGTGGGCCCGAAGGCTGTTCGGACGCGGTGGAGCGAGCGACACCTACGAAAGTGAGGGGAACACCACGCGGTTTTGAGAGTGCAAGGCCCGGCGGGGGCAGTGTGGGCGGCGGACCCATTGAAGAGCTGGACGGTTCCCGCCTCGGCGCGGGTGGTGCGGCGGCCAGCGTATGCGCCATCGAAGAGCTCCCGGACCCGTGCAAAGTTCTCCGCGTCCCCTCCCCCGCCGCCGCACCTCGTGCGAATAAAGGGCGCGAAATCAAAGTCGCCTCCCTCATCCGCCTGCTGCACCATCAGCGTCGCGACAAAGTCGGATCCATCATAGTGCCAGGACCTACCCAATCCATCAAGCAGCATCGAGCCCATGCATGGCCAGAGGGGCAGAGGTAGAAAGAGCAACCTGCC